GTCTTTTACGATCGGTTGGCACACCTCCAGAGTTAAAGTCAGAAATATGTGTGTTCAGTTTCCCATATGGGATTGGATTTTTTGCCAGTATGGGTATGGTTCCTCGTAAATCATGCTAGGGAGTTAGGGTTAAAGAAAAAACCTTGAATGAGGCATTTTCTATTTGCAATTACAGAAAAAAATATCAACAAACTTAAAACCTATTATTTGAGCCAAATGTCTCTGTGTTCTCTTTTGAGGAATTTGCTAATAAAAATGCATACAAAAGATATTGTTCGTCTTTGTGCCATTTATTATGCTTACAGTTTGGTTTCCTACTTGCTCAAATGTACGTACACTCACCCACATGTTTGTATCAGACTATTTGAACCATCTGGACTTGTGTTTCCTGCTTGCAGTATTTATCGGATAAAAGAGAAACTCATAATGTAAAAAAAAGATTTATGCGTTTCGGACTTAGCTCTTGAAAAAGCGGCTCCCACAGGACTATGGATTCTAGTTCTCTTCGACACCAGCGCTTTGGGGGGGGGGGAGCCTTTGAAATGTATCCATGAAAAATTCTGATTGGTCGATCCACAGCAACAACAGTGTGATATTCTACCTAATCACAGTCTGTATCACCTTCTGCGTATTGCGCTACTCCAAGATGCGTGTGCCATTCCTTGTGCACACACTTGTACTAAAATAACCGCTGAAAAGTTGTGTACCGTGTGCGTGTTTCATCTTTACTATGCGTCACGTTTGCTTGAGGATAAATGTGTTATCGCACTCGCGCTCTGGTGCGTCTTGCGTCCCACACAGCTTACCATTCGTCCTTTGGCCTCGTGGTATGTGGGACACAGACGCACTACATTATTCCACGTTCCACTTGCGCTCGCGTGATAGCTCATAATATAATAATAAAGAAAACTAATGCAATGGTGTTTACATATTAAGAACCAAAAGTGATCTTTCCTCAATGTCATCTCTCCATGTGTTTGCTCAACGATTCACTTTTATTTTCAATGTAGCATTTACTGTAATCAATCTAAGAATGTGGTCATGTAGGAAGGCTACCTTTGATTTAAATCTGAAATGATTACTTCCTTATCTTGAAAAGCTTGCATAGAAGAGAAATCTAAAACCTGCAGTGGGTATCACTTCTCATTGGGACGGGTTGTTGGCAACATGGCTGTACTTGGTCTTGCGTTGTGTGTGTGCATTTTGTTGCAAGTGTCATCAGGATCGGATTTGGAACTGAAACCGCAGTACCAGAGTGTACGGGAGGGTGGGACGGCAAGATTCACTTGTCACATTAACATTAGTGTTGACTGTTCAAAATATACCATTTACTGGAAGAGGAAGTCAATTGGCAGCGATAACTATACATTACTGGCCCGCTGCTCGGACGTCATCATTCCATCTGATTTTGAGAAATATTCAGTGTATCTGAATAGCACAAAAGATGGAACAGTCTACATGTTGGTTATTAACAATATTACATCAGCTGACAGTGGGCAGTTCATCATTTCTATATTTGATGGTACAAAGTTTCAACCTTCCAACATCGCAATACTCAATGTGACTGATCATCAACCCATCTGTCAAACACCCCTGAACATATCTACCAGAGTTACCCAAAGCCAAGAACTGGTTGTGGGTGATGAAGGAGAGTTTGGCTGTGATGTTGACCCCCTTCCAGACTCATCTACGTTCAGATGGTTCATTAAGGGAGCAGGCAACCAGACTAGTTCAATCAACGACACGGACAGATTCACAACTTCAGCCAATCGACTGATCATCTCTCCGCTCCTGGCTTCAGACAACCAAAGTCAAATAAGATGCGAGGTTTCTTATTCCCAAGAATGTGAGCAACGGAGTCCTTGGCACCAGCTATTGCTAGAATCAAGGACCAAGTCCACACAGACCAGCTTCACCGTGAACAAGTTCACTTCACGGCAGAATTTAACCACCAGCATGAGCAAGTCGACGCAACCTCCAGCCAGCACTGATGCAACTCCAACCTTACACCCATTGCAGATTACCGTTGGTCCTGATACACAGCAGCCCGTGCCACTCTGGGTGATTGTTGGTGCTACCCTTGCCTTGCTGCTCCTCGTAGCTTCCTTTCTTTGTGTCTGCTTCTATCGTCGTAAGCCTCAACCCAGACCGCATCAGAACGACCAGGCCACCCCGATTCTGAGACGCTTTGTCCCCGTCCCGGTACGTACAGATTCCCATATATACAGCAGTCACACATTCCAACGAGGAACCGGGGATGTAAGTGGATGGAATGCTGCCCTTGCGTCCGTCCAGCACCCTATCAACACACGTGTCGACACGGTTCTCTACGCGATACCCGCAAGGCGTCCAGGCCAGGTGGCTGCAAGGTCTGACCCTTCATCTCCAGGTGCTAGTGGTTTGAGAAGTAACAGACAGAGGAGGCATGAGCAAGAAAACTTCTCCCTCACACGTGTACAGGTTGGAGAAGATCTGTACACTGTGCCGAGTAAGGTGAAATCTCGCAGCGTAGAATCGTCTAAGGAGCTCTCTGATGACGATAGCGAATCCGATGTCGCTCTTGTGCGATTTCAGGTCGGGGAGGATCTGTACACGGCGGTACAGCACAAGCATTTCCCCGCATGAACATACAGTGTACCCGCAACCCAAGTTCATCAAGATAAGGTGTCCATCACCGTCATCCTTGTTATCGTAGTCGTAGAGTAAGTGAGGCGTTATCTTGATAGTGTGCATGTAACCCAGAAAATATTTCATCAAGCTTTGTATTACACATATACCCGCTAGGATTACAACGCTGTCTAGTTGAACAATCACACAGGAATTTTGAACAAATCAAGCAAGAATTTTGCTTGTGATCATTTTGCTTGTGATCATTTTGCTTATAACGCCCTCTGTACAAATGTATGTAATGTTTTGCATTAAAATTATTGTATTATCGTGTATTACATCAACTTTTGAAATGATCGGGTATTCCATTGTTGAGCATCTCTGCATTGTCAAGTTCCTTGTACATGTATACAATCAACATTAGATTGAACAAAATTTAAATACTACCTAAAAGGGAATATACATTGTCTGTAAATGAAAATTTTGCTTTATATGCAATTTCTTCATTAATTTGCTCTTATAGATATGATATACGGAATGGTGCCTTTTCATTATATTTATAATTTTTGTCTGTATATTTTAAATAGACATAGAACATCACAGAGAGAAAAAAAGAGAGTTATCAGAGATATTTCAATAGTGTTTAAAGGAACTTCTGTATAAAAAAAACATCTTCGTGTCAACTGTTAAGTACTGGAACTCACTCTCCTTGGCTGCTGTGAACAGCGCAACCTTAGCTGATTGCAAGGGACATGTCAGTAATCTTTAATACAACTTTTGGAGCTAGCTTATTTCCACGTGCAGTGCGTACCCATGTTTGTTTTACATACGCTATGAAGACATTCCTTTGATTTCAAGTAGTTAAGAAAACTCGGTACAAAAAATAACATAGTTCAACCGTGAAAACTCTTTCAACCCTAATTTTTTTCTATGATTCCCTTTAGTGTTTCTCTTCATTTTGCCACAGATAAACCTAACCCCAAAACTGCCTCTAAACCTGTTTTCCAGAGAGGGCGAAATGTTATGTGGACACGGCTTAGTCCACATTACGTCAACACAACCTGCATTATGTGGTCATCTTTTGTTCACAAGTCCACATAGTGACTGTTAGACAAACTCAAGTTAGCGTTTATGTATCCGACAGAATATTTTCCTGACTGAAGCTATAGAGATGGAGATTTACAAGGACTTTGTCCACATTTGTTCAATGCCGAAACATATGAGTTCCGCAGTGCAGAGCAGAGCTGTACATTTAAGAAAGAAACCCTGATCGAGGCATTTTCTATTTGCAATTATAGAAAAAAAATCAACAAACTTAAAAACCTATTAGGTTTCTAAATCTGAGCCAAATCTCAAGTGTATCTGTGTACTCCTTGGATAAATTTAACAAAACCACCCGACTAATTTGCATACCGATATAATAATATAAACAGTGACTTACTGAAAACAACAGATGTTTTCTTTATTTAGCATTTTAAAAGTATTTTTTGCCATGCCATGTATTTTGCTTAAGGTTTCCTACTTACTCAAGTAAGTACACTCCCCCGCATGTTTGTATAAGACTATTTTCACTTGCAATGCTAAGCACGGGACCTGTTTTTAGAAGACGCAAATGTGGAAAGTCCCGTATTTGTTTCTCTGGACTTGTGTTTTCCTGCTTGCGGTATTTATCGGATAAAAGAGAAACTTGTAATGCGTAACGAATATTATTTCGTTTCGGATCTCACCCTTGAAACAATAGCTCCCACAGCACTACGGATTCTACAGTATGTCCCAAAAAGTGTTCGTCCGACTGTTTCTAAAATAGCTACAAAACCATGGGTCAATTTCGAATTTTTTCGCTTGTGTAGCTTGTGCTGTGTCCTAAACCTTGGCCTCAACCCCTATGAGTTTCATTTAATTTCAGTCACACATCACTGCACAATCAAAATTGAGCACAACAACATTTTTCGGACACTGTGACCAAGTTCCTTGCCTGAATGAATTTCAGTGCGTGTTGTGAAGAAAAAGGCTGATGGGGTTTGGGATTGGAATCATTTGCCCTTGAGCATTCAACTGAGGTCTTGCCATGATGACTGATAGCCCAGCAAATGATTCAATCCCAACCGCAGCCCTTTTCACAACATGCAGGATTTTACACAGCTTACTTAACACTGCACTGAAATTGAAAAAGGCAAGGAACTTGGTCACAGTGTCCAAAAATGTTGTTGTGATCAATTAATATTATGTGTAGTGATGTGCTACTGAAATTATATGAAACTCATAGGGGTTGAATAAAAAGGCTTCGGAGTATCTGCACAACCAAACATTTTCAAATTTGACCTCATGGTTTTGTTGTTATTTCAAATATAGTCAGACGGACATCACATTACGTGCACTTCACTTCCACATCACATGCACATGGCATGCACATCACACGCACACATATGCAAACATGTGTTCACCGTCGATCGTGGACGTCCTATTGTCCCTCTTTTGTTTGTACTCTAACTTTTTAGGAAGACTACCGGAGGTTTTGTGCACGACCTCAATCGCGGACGTATGCTGGGAATCGTGGACGATATTGTTCTCTTTCGTTCTCTGGTATTTGTCATCCACGGTTTGAAAAGATGAACATGTACACATACACACCCAATCACATCACATGCACATCACATCCTCGACTATGACACTGTTACTTACTTGTCAACGATGGGAGCCACTTTCTTATCTTGGCTGGTCCACCATTGCCGGACCATGGCTGGTAGATCCTCCAAGATGCTGTAGTACAGAGTGCAGGCCTGGTGCTGTATCTCTTCTTGAGTGGGAGAAATACCTACACAAGACGCAGATAAAGGATTTACTTATGGTTAACTTGTGACTGAACTGTGATTGACTTGTGATTGACTTGTGATTGACTTGTGACGGACTTGTGACTGACTTGTGACTGACTTGTGATTGACTTGTGACTGACTTGTGATTGACTTGTGATTGACTTGTGACCGACTTGAGATTGGCTTGTGATGGTCTTATGATGGCTTGTGACCACTTGTGATTGACTTTATGATTAACTTACTTGTAAAGACTGTGATTGACTTGTGATTGACTTGTGACTGACTTGAGATTGGCTTGTGATTGACTTGTGATTGACTTGCGATTGACTTGTGATTGACTTGTGACCGACTTGAGATTGGCTTGTGATGGTAAAATGATGGCTTGTGACCACTTGTGATTGACTTTATGATTAACTTACTTGTAAAGACTGTGATTGACTTGTGATTGACTTGTGACTGACTTGAGATTGGCTTGTGATGGTCTTATGATGGCTTGTGACCACTTGTGACCGACTTGTGACCCACTTGTGATTGACTTATGATTAACTTACTTGTAAAGACTTTGATTGACTTGTGATTGACTTATGAAAACTGTGAAGACTTGTGCATGACTTGTAAAGACTTGTGATTGACATGGATTGACTTGTGATTGACTTGAGATGAGACGCTATTGAATTCTTAGGATTTTACTTCAAGTTGCATATGACTGACTTGTGACTGACTCGTGAAGACTTGTGATCTTGTGATTGTCTTATGACTGATTTTTTATGACAGATGACATGACAGGTGGTTGGCTCGGATTGGCCTCTGATAACTTGTCATTGGCTTATGACTGACTTACGATTGATTTGTGAAGCCTTGGACCGGCTTGTGATAGAGTTGAGACTAACTTGTGAATGAACGGTGATGTGATGTGATTGAGTTGTGTTTGACTTGTGATTGAGCTGTGCCACTGGTGAATAACTCGTGATTGACTTGCTCCTGAATTGTGACTGACTGTGGAGGCTTGTGACCAACTTGTGACTGACATGAATGACTTGTGATTGACTTACGATGAGTTGTGATTGACTCGTGACTGACTTGTGAGACTAGATGGACTTTTGATTGACTTATTAAACTCCCTAGCATGATTTACTTCAAACCATACCCATCCTGGCAAATTCCAACTCCATATGGGAAACTGTACACACATATTTCTGACTTTGTTTCAATGTAAAAGACTGTCAGTTTAGGGGTACTGTACCCATCCTGACAGATTCCAACAATACATGCCGTTGGGGTTTGATGGGTTGAGTTCTGTTATCAAGATCGATCTATGATTTTACTAAGGACTATCTTGTAATAGACATGTGATTGAACAGTGATGACATGAGATTGACTTGTGATGACTTGTGATAAGGCCAAAAAAAACATTCTCGGTCTCTGATCAGACCAAAGTTCCGGAATAGATGCGGCGATGCGGCTTTGCTTATTTTTTTTTGCTTTTTTTTTTTTTCAAGCTTGGATTGTACAGACAAGGTGGGGTACTATTTTGCTTTTTTTTAATGTCCTCATGTACATTGGTGTCCTCCATAATTTGCCTTGGTGCCCTCATTTATTTGCCTTGGTGCAATTTCCCATTCCTAGGTGCTCTTTGTTAAAAAAAAATTGAGGAGGTGCGGCAATAGAGGGCGCTGTTGGAGCTACCGGAGAACATTTTGGAGAAAAAAAAGATTGATGCGCATGATTAAAATCGACGCGCGCGCTGACCAGAGACCGACTATTTTTGGGGGGGGGGGGGGGGGGGCCTAAGTTATGATCGACTTGCGATGACTGACAATCGAGTACCTTTAGCTTTCATTGTTGGAGCTATGCTGAACATGTTCCGTGAAGTCGATCCCTTGGTACTACTTAACATCGGCGGGTCGGGCATCAGCCTGAAAATATTCATCATTAGGCTAGACACACCGTCTATCTGGCGAAGGTAATTGGCGTACTCGGCCCTGACCTGTGGATGGGGTCAAAGGTTATACAATGCAAGGTCAAGATCAGAAAGCTCCGCCATAAGCCCCACTGAGCTATTGTAGTCACCTGACCAAAAGTCTCAATATGATTGGTTAATGTATGGGAGGGGTGTGGCCTAGTGGTTAGGGTTTGTGACTCATGATCAGAGGGTCAGGGGTTTGAATCCTGCTGCTGGCCATATGTTGTGTCCTTGGGCAAGCCACTTAATCAACAATCCTTTAGACAGTTAGACAGTCCTCGTGATCAGAGGGTCAGGGTTCGAATCCAGCTGCTTGTCATATGTTGTGTCCTTGGGCAAGCCACTCTACCCCAACTTGCCCTCTCACCACCTAGGAGTATAAAGGGGAGCCGGCATCAGCTCAGAGTAACCTGCGATGGACTGGCATCCCATCCAGGGGTATCAGAAATACTCTCAGTCGTTTCATGTCAAGAAAACCAAAGATGGACATCACTTTGCCTTAAAGCAGATTTTCCTTCTTTTTATGTGCACTGTTTGATTGACAAGTGGGAAGGGTCCACCATCCCTTTCCTTAATTCTTTAAAATAGGGTATAACAATTCCTGTGTCCATGAGCTAGACACGATACTCCAAGCAATTAAGGAACTGCTAAGGATGGTGGAGGATGTTCATGCTGAATTGTGGTGTAAGCAATTCTCAAATCTCACCTCAGCCGATGCAGCTTTGAATATCCTGAGGTATAGTCTCCATACCAGCAGGTAAGTCAGCACGCTGGACAGGCTCTGGTGGTAGCCAGCGCTGGTGGGATCCAGGGTCAGGCACTCGCCAACTTGGACATCAGCAAAGATGACTTCCATGTAGGCTGAAGCGGAGTCTAGGATTTCCTTTAACGATTCTGGTGGTGGTCTGTAAGTATCAGAAAAAAAGGAAACCAAAACGATGTTAATTTATGGTATCAGAGTCTTTTTTTAACGTTAAAGGTGGAAAGATTTCCATATACGAAGTTCACTCAACACCCTGTGTACAAACCCTATGAGATTGGACTGAAAAATTCTAAGTGTTTTCGAAGAAAATGCTTGTATTTTCTCACTGCTCAAATTGACTTTGATGACATGAAATTGCTATCTGGGGGCTTGTTAGTCAATACAGAGGAAAATTAGTGAACTTCGTATATGGAAATCTTTCCTTAAAGGCATATAGGATAATTTTGAATTTATCCCAAAAGTAACCTACCAAATTATAACCAAAACGCTTAATTGGATTAAAGATCGTACTGGTACTAAACACCCCGTGAAATTACTCTGTCTGGCTTGCTGTCATTTTATTGGAACACATCAAAAAATGTAGGTGATTTCCAAAGTTATGAAGAAATGCAGGTGATTTCAAAAGAAATGAAGAAATGTAGGTGATTTCCAACGATCAGTCAATTGACTGAGTTTTGGAAATAAAGAGTGCTATTGACGAAATCGTGTTTCGTGATCAAAAGGTTGTGCATGTTTTTTTTCACTATTTTCTCGAAAGTGTAATACCCACTGAGGCCAAGTTCGGGCAAGGACCATTAGTCGACTAGTGGTTGATTTGTGACGTACCTTACGCCTGCGCACTGATAGCAACATGCGAACGTCTCTAGTCAAACGCTGGTCAAAATGTCGTCGCAAAACTTCTGGATCCTGGCTCTCTGCTAGCGTTATGAATGCGCACGGCTATTGGTTACCAGCGAAGCAACCAACCCCAGTAGGCTGGTTCCAAATAGTCGACTAGCGTAGTCAACCATCGTCGACTAGACAGAGTTCGGGCAAACGTTAGTTAACCATTGGTCAACTATAGTCCTTGCGCGAACTTGGCCCATGCTGAAACTTCAACAGGTTGGGTTTTGAACATTCTTCTTGGTAGTTTGAGTGGTGTTATTATTGGAAACGAACAAAATGCGCAAAAAGCAAACGATTCTGTTTACGTTTTGAAAGTGCCAAAACAAAAAGTTCATAGTCTCTGTCATTGCTAATGAAAAAACCTATAAAACATTAAACGTCACAATTTGTTGAAAGTTTCCCTTAAAAATTACTTCTCCACATCATGAACATTTCAGGTTCTTGTGAGGTAAATTCCACTTAAGAACTTCACATCTTGAATTGCATACTTCAAGTAGTTGGAAATTCTTTAAAAATATGTAGAATTTTGGAACTGCAATTAATAATAAGAAAAATATTGCATTTTCAGCATCTAAGGCAATGCCAATGGTATGTAATACAGGTAGTTCAGTTTAATCATAAACTCAAAAATACTGAGAAAAAATGGCTCTTACAATGACGACTCTTCCTCCCTCTGATCTTTGTCACTGCTGGCCTCATCTTTTAGCCGTTCTTCGTCTGCTTTGGCAACTTCATCCATAACCCTGGAAAAATTATTTAAAAAAAACCACTTACTTGACAACAAATAGTACTCACAAGTCAAGTCATGAGTTAATCGCTATTTTTTCATTCTCTTCACAATTCCATAGGTTTTCTCTCAAATTTCATTTGTAATTTTCTTGAAACTCCTAACGTTGCGTTACCTGTACTATTCGAGTTTCATCCCAAAAAAGAGATTCCTTTTCTAAATTGCTATTTTTGAAGTGATACCAAAGTTATTCACTTTTGAAGGAGACATTGACCAAAAAAAAATCGGCCCATGTTTTTATTGAATTATTATTTGACAATTGTGACTTAGTGGCGGCCAGACAATAATTTTGTTCTCGTAGGATAGGCTGGTTCCCGCCCCACAATCAGTATCAATAATGTATGGACCGGGAACCAGTCTGCTCACAAAGTGGATCTGTTTGTGCCAAAAACAAAAAGCTTCTTTTCAAAGGCTTGCAGATGTCCCAAAAAGGAAAAAAAGGAGGTTTTATGATTGCAATAAAACATACAAGCTGAAAATTTATTGATACAAAACTAAACAGAATTTGTTGAAGAGCTCAGGGAATGCAATTGTAAACTGACTGTCTGTATATTGTCTAATTTCTACATGTTTCTTCAATATTTCAAGTGGTTTCCTGTACAATTCTGCAATTACTCCAGTCAAGGGGATATTGTAATCGACAAGTGGGCATTTTTTCCATTTATTCGTCAATTAGAAAAAAGGGAAGGCCTACATGTGTACTATATATTGAACCCCCTCCCCTCCCCCCCCCCCCCCCAAAAAAACCCATCCGACCGACAGACCCTCCTGATATTTTTCATTGGAGGACAACTCAAATATTTTTGGGCATTATACAGTACTGAGCAGTTTGGGGGCAGTATGGGGAGTTACAGGCAGGGCGCTTTGGGGCGATACAGGAACTAATAAGTAAAGCATTTTGACTTTATCTCCGAGCACTCCTACGTTAACCTTCTTTTCACCATTCAATCCCAAAACCACTTCAGACCCTGTTCCCCGATAGAGATCATTTCACTTGATCAATTGGATCGTCGGCAGGTTTTTCGCTGAGGCAGATCTTGACAAATTGCCCAATTACGATGGCTTTCTAACTTCGCTCGGTCCAAAGTGTAAAGACTATTTCGACATCATCGTGTCAACTTTAGTTCCAAGGGAAGGATTGAATTATAATAATTTCAAACAAAAGAAAACAACTGTTAAAGGGAATGTACAACATTTGCTTTTGCTGCAATTTTCAGAAATAAATGGATTTGGAGAATTAGTGTGTTATAGCAAATAGTGCTGAAAAGCCTTGTTTTACGTTGGGCTTGTAGATGCTGGAAAAACCAAGAAAACCAATCATGTTCTTGTAGTCTGGTTTCCTGACCCCACTTAAAATGAAACAGAGCAATTTATAGACTTTTGGGAATTGAAAGGTCAGAGAATCAGTCTATAAGCAGGCTTGTACCTCTTCAGAGGTGTGTAATCAGTTGCAAAGAAAACGTGGAATAACTAATTATGAAAAATTAGGAGCAGTTCTTGAAAAAGCCAGTAATCTCCAACGCCGGTCGGCCGACCAGCGTTGGAAAAATACCATTTTCCTTGAAAATGTCAGCACACCAGGAGCCACAATTTTACAGGATGCTTTAGACTGTCATTCCCTAACAATCCAGTAAGGTACATGTATTTCTTGACAATTTGATCATTTCGTTTTGTGATGTTTGCAAATGTTGTATCTTCCCTTTAAATGAGGTAAATGCAGAAGAAAGTTGATGAGTCCTTTTATATTCTTCTGGCAACTAAAAGAGAGAAGAGATAGAAAAAAAGAAAAAGAAAAAAATTGTTCCAAGATAATAAAATAATCATTTTTGAAATGAAAGCAAAAATCTTGTTAACTAACTCCTCCCCCTTTTGGGGGATTTTAGCAGATAAGCCATGTGTACCAAGTCTATCAAAATCCACCAGCACCAATGGTGGATTTCAACGGATTTAGCCCAGAAGCAATAATGTGAAGCAGAGTGGGTGATGGATTTTGACAGATTTGGTCTTCTACTTAGTAAAACTAAGTAGGGAGCTGGGGTTAATGAAGCAAATATCCAACATGTGGATAATGTTTGTGGTTTCTTTATTTTCTACTTTCAACTGAAAGAGAGATAGTGAATCCCAAAATGTTTCTCGAACGATCAGCAGAAATTGTAAATGACTAGAATTTGCAATTATTACCTATTAGCCATAAAATAGGACATTATTTGTTTTTAAATTAAAGGGAATATACAACATTTGCAAACATCAAAAACAAAACTACCAAATTATTATGAAACACCTTAGTGGACTGTTAGTGAATGACAGTCTAAGCATCCTGTAAAATCATGGCACCTGGTGTGTTGATATTTTCAAGGAAATTGTATTTTTGTATCAATTGCCAACGCTGGTCAGCAACCAGCACTTAAAAAAAAACTTTTCTCAAATACTGCCCCCTATTTACTATATTTAGTTACTCTGCATTTTGTTTGCCATCGATTACACACCTATGAACGGGTACAATTCCCTGACCTTACAATTTCCCGAAAATTATAAATTGCTCCATTTCATCTTAAGTGGGGTTGGGTAACCAGACTACAAAGAACATGATTGCTTCCTTGTTTTTTCCAGCATCTACGAACACCAAACTTCAAGCAAGTCTGGGTAACAATATTTGCTATAAACTACTAACCCCCCAAATCCATCTTTTTCTGAATATTACAGCAAAAGCAAATGTTGTATATTCCCCCTAAATCTACCATGCAACCCAGAGTTGCAAAAAGTTTGTAAAGAAAATATATCTTGAAAGCATGATAAGCGATGATTTATTAGCAAGCTTTAAGTGCTGTCTGGATGAGGAAGTAGTACTGCAATAAATGAATGTAGGTGATCACACTGTGAAAACAATTCTGGGTAAAACGAAAGACTGTGCAATTTTAAAGTGGCGGTGCCGTATACTCTGGAAGCGCAAATATTTATCGTCTGTTGGACCCAATAAAGGTTCATCAGGCTGGCGTTTATCTTCGTTTTCCATGGCATGAAATGACTGAGAATATTTTTATTACCCCTAGATGGGATGCTAGTCCATCGCAGGTTACTCCCCAGCTAATTCAATTCAATTCAAAGGAAACACTTATTTCCATACTTTCCACAAATTAGTCAAACTAATTTTTTAAATAAAAAAAGGTAATTAGATATAGTAAATAAATAATGACATAACAATGTAGTATAACGACTAGATATGTTAAATTAGGATGAAGAGTATGGGGCTGTTCATATAAACCGAAGCTTGTAGAGAACAGCCTTACACATAAGCGGACAATACAGGACAGTTTACACAGGCAATAGGAACAAACACGAAAACAGTCAAAGGGAAACTAAAGACAAGACAAAACAAAATTAACAAAACACGAAACGAGACACTAAAAACCGAGACAAATTGAATAGGTGCGATGAGGATAAGATATAAGAGACGATGAATTGTATGTAAAGAAGAGATGTGGCTATGGAGAGTGGCTGAGGAAAGAGAGCTATGTTACATATTGTGATAGGAGCTCCTTTTTGTACGAGGATTTAAAACAGCCCACGGACGTCATTGTTCTGATTTCGTTTTTAATGGTGTTCCACAAACGGGGACCATAGAAACGGATAATGCCGATATATATTTCTGATAATGTAGAGGCAAGCAGGTTGAGATAAAGTAGCTTGCTCAAGGACACAACATATGTGGCCAGCAGCTGGAAGCAGCTGGATTCAAACCCCTGACCATTTTTATTGTAAATCCCAAACACTAACCATTACGATCGTTTGTTACATTTATTACAATTTTGACTCCAAATTTGAACTTTTGTTTAACAAAACCACTTGTTTGCATTGAGTTAATTTACAACTTGTCTTGAACCATTGATGCATAAACTGTAATTGCAGAGATGTTTTGTACGACACGTAATTAACTATCTGACCTATCGTCAAGGGGAAACAAGGTACAGGATGGACCCAGGAAATTGCGTCCCTCTGTCGAGGAAATAATCGAAGCGCGTTGCTAAAAGCTGAAAGGACACGCCTGACCGCAAACGTTTTTCGAGGATAAAAGAGGGTTCATTTAAACTGATACAATTTGCCGACGTGCAGTTGCACATGCACGGCAGATGTTTTCAGGAAAATTTAGGTCAAAGTTGTGCCAGTATTGTCGGTGTGTCTTTTGGACGGTCAGGTTTCGCGGTTGAATGGTGCTGGTTTGAGAGAGCACTTATCGAATTGTGCTGCTCACTTTTGAGTGGCGGAGGAAGTTATCAATCAATTGTGAATGTTTTGAAGGCGTCAGTCTTTGCATGAGTGGGCAGTTCTTGTGCGTGGACGTTTCATGATTGGTTGATGGTGCAGTACAAGAAGCACGTACTGCAGTGGCACACCAGTATTCGTGCAAAATTACGACAAATTGTGTTCTAAAAAGCGAACAAGTCCATTTCTTGATAATGTCGTGGGTTTGTGATTTGGTGTTCCATCAATGAATCGGTCGAAGTTCAAGTCTTGACATTTCTCAGGAGCGAGGAGAGCCAATTTTTTTTCAGACATGACGATAAAAGCTTGAGACGTTAGGACACTGAGCACAGCAACTGGAGGAATATCTGTTATTCTTTATGTGGTGTTGGTGCATGCGGAAACTACACCAGAAACTATGGAAACTACACCCTTTCTGGAAATTCTAAATACTGCAACCGTATCGACTGGGAATAGCTCAGATTATGGAATCTCGCAGACTCCATTCCAAGTATTCGTTATCACCTTTGCGACGCTTGCAGTTGTGGCAAGCTTTCTTCTGAATCCGTTGATGCTTTTGACGCTTCGACGCGTCGCCAGCATTCAGACTACAACAAAAATCTTCATGGCGTCGCTCACGCTGTCGGATTTTTGCAACGGCATCTTTTGGGTCTTCAAACTCCCGGAACTCTACGCTGCGGAGTGGCTGCTCGGAGATTTCCTCTGCAGGGTTTCAGGCGTGATGGTCAACACGTTTCACGCGCTGGGGATTTTCTCCTTACTACTTTTGACTCTGGACCGCTACATCGCCATATTGTTCCCGCTGCGCTACCCGCGAATGATGACCATTTTCAGAGCCAAACTTGCAGTCTGCGTTACTTGGACTACAGCTTTCATTAGCTGCATTCTGCTCTTTGGGATATACGACCACAAGATTGTCTTGCAGGATACCCCGCGCTTCTGCGTCCGGAGGACGTACAGCGACTGGCGAGCCTACGTCGCAATTCTCGTAATTGCAATCCCCTTGGTGACAATATTCGTCATCTATGCGCATGTTTTGCTGATTGCGCGCCGTCACAGCCGGCAAATCGCGGTCGAGATATCAAGCGACCAAGATGGACGTCGGACACTTCACCGCATCAACCTCAGGTCGACCACAACCATCATTATCATAACTAGTACCCTAATAATCACTTGGGTTCCCTCTGCAATACTGCTACCAATATTAGCCTCAAAGAACTTTTTGGAGTACGACAACATTTTCTTTGCCATCATTTTGCCGAATGTTCTACTGATGTCCAACAGTTGGTTAAACGTCATCATCTACTATTTGCGGAATCGAGATTTACGAAGAACAATCCATGATGTGCTATCGGACATGTGCCACTTTCGAAAGACCAGAGATCCATGTCATAGTATTACATTATGAATAAAAAATTAGCTCATTTTAGAATTAGTTATGCCAAAAATTTGAGAATATTTTTGAAACATATGGACATTGGGTTATCAGAATTGCTAATCGCTACAACAGGTTCAAAAATAGGAAAAAACCAAGGATATGATTTCGTAAAAATGATTAAAACTTTTAAGTATTTGAAAAAAAGGAAGAAATAATGATACAAAATTGTTCCAACCCCCCTCCCGAAAATGGTTTTCAACATTATTTTTGTTTTGCTTTAGTGTTGAAACATCTTTCTGTACATCCAGACATTAACAGAAAAATTTCAAGGAACTCAAATTAGGTAATTTCTCGAGACATTATATGTGGAGTCAGTGCCATGGCCTCGTGGTCTGGAGCATTGAATTCATGGTCTGTGGGTAATTCTGCAGATTGTGGGTTGGAGTCCAGCCTGGGGTTATGGTGCGTGTGCCCTTGGGCAAGGCACTTTGTCACTCATTGCTTCTCCCCACCCAGGAGTAAATGGGTACTTGTGAGGGCAGAGATGGTTGGTTGTGGTTGGTTTTAGCTGCCTTGCGCCAAAATGGCAGCATTGAGCTGTATACTCCCCAGGGAGCTGAGATGGTATTTGGAATGTTTCATGGCCCAGTGAGCAGGGTAATAACGATGCAGCACCTTGAGCAACAATACTGATGGATACGTGCACTTAATTAACTGTGACTATTATTCTCCATGAACTGTTACCAAAAAGTACCCTGCACTTTTAGCATGGTAACCAGATGCAATAAAGTTGCCAAATCTACTCTGAACGTGTACCTAATTTGTACAAAACGATTTCCATGGAAACCATGGTCGTCATTTTCACCACGAGATGTGGATTAACAAAATATTCTCGATAGAACTTAATCAATTTTGCCTTTGATTGACAGCAGCCATTTTAAGTGAGGTTTACTGCACCCATTGAAAAAGGCTAATTAAGAACTGGAACCTGCCACAGCACAGAAAACAACAACAAACACATTAATTAATTCTGCATGAGTGAAGCAAAGTTTTCACCAGGCAGAATTTCATAGCAGCGCTTACGACCAAACAGCAAGTAAAGGGGAGGGGATGGGGGAAATTAAAAAAAAAAATCAATTTTTTTCCAAACCAGTAAAATTTGCCAATTACAGCCCTTTATGAGACACTGCTCTTAACTGGTCCCCTGAGCAATATTAGCACCGCAGCAATGACATAAAACTGGACTCCGTGTAACCGTCTTCAGCATTTCATCAAAATAATTTCTGCAAGAGTGCTGCAACTTTGCTATGTAATCGGAAAAGCAAGCATAATCCAGTTATAAATAAGACACTGCACAGTTGTACAAAAGCACTAAATTCACGGCTACTCGACAAAAGATTTTGGTATCATCAAATCTGTATCACGGATCATGAGCTTTGTAAAAGCGAAAGTGTTCGTTGCAACAGCTCTGCTGTCACTGACACTTGGGCAGGTTGGGGCGATGAACGTCTGCCCAAAAGGATGGGCGGAATGGAACCGGTCTTGCTACATGGTGACCGAGACGAAAATGACGTGGAGAGATGCCCGTTCATTCTGTGGTGGCCTCGGCGCTCGAATGGCCGTTCCCAGCTCGGCAGAAGAGAACGCGTTTATGGTTCGCGCGATGGCAACTTCCAAAATAACGTTTGGTTTATGGATTGACTGCACCGACAGCGACGCAGAAGGTTCATGGGTTTGTGCGGAGGATGGCGTGGCGGGAGCCGGCTACCGCAACTGGTTCCCTGGGCAGCCCAACGATTGGCCGATCGAAGCCGATTTTGTGATTCTGGAAGCCGTCGGGCTTTGGGGCGACTACAACGACCGTCCGGAATACTCGATGTGTGAGATGAAAGCAACGTGCATGCAATGCTGCGTCATCACAGCCGATAACAAATGCTACTAGATAACCAATGGAAAAAAAGGTTAGCTGCGCTATGCATCCTACTTACAGGTATGCAACTTGGAAGAAACAAAAAACCTGGGAAACTCCAATCTTTACAAGACTTTGTACAGTCTTTTTCAATTTTTAATGGCATGAGTGTGAAGTGAAAAACGAGGAAATCAGCTGATCCGAGGAAAAGTTGCATGCCTGTACTTAAGATTTTGCACAGTTTTGTTGCTTCGAATAAAAATACAAAGTTTGGAGAGAAAACGATTTACAGATTAGGCGCTTCAGTGCACTCTGTTTTTTCAACAGAAAAACACCTAACATGAACAGTGTCTCCCTGAAATGACATCACGACAACAGCGCCCTCAGTTGTCCGAAAAGCTTGGAAAGTTTTAAATGTTGAAAGAAGTGCACTTTTCAACACAATTAACCCAAAAGGAATATCAGTTAGTTTTCATACACTTAAGAGGATTAGAAAGTTGCGCAAAATATGTTCCCAAGAAATATTCACTTCATGAGCCCTTTAAAACAGGAGACGTTTTATCCAAATTTGTTTTCATACTGTCAGACCAGAACTGTAGATCTTATTCAGGAGGAAGCCATGTTTGATTGTGTTCCCTGAATCTATTTCATAAACTGTGAATTGTTGAGTGGGATGGTGCCAGACTATTTTATGATCTGCGTTCCAAGCTTCACTTTTATGGGTTTTTTTTTTTTAAATGTGGCTTGAAACATCGGGGCCCAATTTCATGGCGCTGCTAAGCACACAAATTTGCTTAGCACAAAAAAAGTCTGGCTTATAAAAGCAGGTTACCAGCCAAAACTCCACGTGATGTATATTGCTCGTGATTAGCATTCAGCTGTTGTTTGCTTAGCATGAAAATCACATGGAGTTTTGGCTGGTAACCTGCTTTTATAAGCCAGACTATTTTTGTGCTAAGCAAATTTGTGTGCTTAGCAGCGCCGTGAAATTGGGCCCAGGTATGTTCAATCATAAATTTTAAATTATTCATCAGATCAGACTGGTATTAATGTGTAATGAACTTTTATTTCATTGCTTTCACTTCTACTCGCAAGCTCCAAAAATGAAGAGTTACCTCACTTTCAATTTAATATGGCCGACTCGTGAATAAAGACTATAGTGTATCACAACTAAATTGTTCGAAAATTTGAATTTGAATGTTGAACTTGAACACGTTTGTGACCACACATGTAACATGTAAACTGCACTAAATGTTTGTTTTAACTTTCGTGATTTCTTCATCTTTGAGTTTTAGTCATTCATTTAGTTATTCATTAAAGCGCTTAACATTATCATTAGTGTGAGACAAAGTGGTTTCAAAAAATGAACTATGTGTTTGCTCATTTGCATGTTACACAGCCAAATAAATTGCACGGTTTCAAACATATTTTTCTCAAATATTGTTATTTTAGCTTCTGGAAAGGTGCCACAATTGCGACTTTTTCAACCATTTCTCAAAATCTAGACCGAGACTTAGGAAAAAAATAGCACTTGTGAGTTCCAGAACTATCTGAAACACATGATGGATCACATTTGAATAATCCGTTTACTTCATGCTCTACTTTTTAAGCCCGGAGACTTTCAAAATGTCACTTCTAATTTGATTTAAGAACTCTGCACTTGCTATTTGCAAAGCTAGCGTCAGGGCCTGTAATGTCCATGGCTAATATTTAAGCCAATTTGATACTGACGTTCTGTACTTCAACCGAATGAGGAACATATTCGTCTTTGCAAAGTCAACAAGCCACTTTCAAAAATTCATGAATGACCCATTTTGAATTTATCATTATTGATTGATTGTGATTGAACCTACAAATTCAGTGGACTGTTCTGGCCGAACCCTTCTCACATTTTTTTTCTTCATATCGCTCAAAATCCATCCCACACAGTATTAAAATTTCTTTCCTTGGAAATGGAAGTCGTGACTGGTACAGCAGAGCGGGACAAGGAATGACAAGAGCAACATATGCACCAACTCCTGGCCTTTCTGCCAATTTTTGTTGCGCCAGCAACACCAACTTTTAACAGTTGTCGTTGACAACACACTGCAGTAACGTAGATCAATAAACTCTCCTGGAATTGGAAACAATTGGAAAGACTTGAGTGTCAGAAAAAAATGTGGATTTTTTTGAAAAACATCGGGCTTCGAATCTAAATGAAAGATGGAACGCATAGTAAGCCATGAACACAATGATGAGAATGAATCTATGACGTCTCAAGTTGATAAGGAAGATGTCCCTAAAGCATTCTCCACGTTTGTCATCGTCTTCATGTCCGTGACAATCGCGCTGAACTTGTTCCTGAATCCACTGATGCTTTTCGTCCTGCGTCGCGTCGCCAGCATTCAAGCTACCACCAAGATCTTCATGGCCTCTCTCACCATGGCCGATTTTTTCACGGGCCTGTCGTTCCTTCTCAGACTCCAGGAGCTGATCGCGGGGCAGTGGCTGCTCGGTGATTTTGTCTGCGCGTTCAAAGGCGTGACAGAGACAACACTACAGATGCTGCAAGTTTTCTCTCTTCTGCTTTTGACGGCGGATCGTTACATCGCCATCAGCCGGCCTCTACGGTACCCATCCCTTATAACAGTTCTCAGAGCTAAACTTACGATTTCCGCCACCTGGGTGGCAACTATCGTAGTGGGTGTCTTAACCTTAGGGATTTTCACTCCCCAAACAATCCTCAAAGATGACCCGCAGTTGTGCGTCTGGGCCAGCTATCAAACTGACTGGCGGATGTACGCTTCCCTAGTGGGCCTTATTCTTTCACTAACCATTATACTCCTCATGTACGTCCATATTTTTCTAATCGCGCGTCGTCACTTGCGACAGATCTCGATCGCTGGAGCCCGTGAGAACCAAGCCTTACCAAGGGAACAGCGGCAAATCCGATCAACTCTAACTGTTGCCATCATAACGGGAACTTTAATGCTGACCTGGCTGCCTTTCGCCATCACGCTGCCGATAATTTCGGCGCAAAGCGTCAGGTTGGAAGTTTGGGGAATCAGTGCGACCGACACTCTCATGGTGTCCAACGGCTGGCTTAATGTAATCATTTACTACCTGCGCAACAGGGAATTACGGAAGGCTGTGCACGATTTGCTGTTGGCCTGGCGACGTTGTCTGTTTGACTGCTGTGATGTGGGCCATGGCATTTTTAACACTTGAAGGATGGTGAGCAGTGCCAGACACAACAAATATCAGGATATGATCAATTCAACAGAAAAAGTAGTGCAGCTGAACGTGGTAAATTTAAGAAATCTTCACACATGCCTTAACTACATGCATCACAACCTCAGTTGTGGTATCACATTATTAAAAGGACACAACAAGGCCTTTCATTCCAGTGGTGTCCCAGTGAGATGGAATGCAGTTGCTCCAAAACCCCTGTTTATTTTG